AAAGCTACAGTCAGTTGTGGCAGTTGACCTATCCGGTGTTTAGGAAACACAACTCATGGTGGTAGAAAATTCAGCTGGTCGAAAATCAACTCGACAGTTTCAGAGAGCCCTGCGAGTACACCTTCATACACGACTGAGAACTAAACGCGAAGGTCAGCATGTCAGAAAAACTGTTTTATATGATGCTGAAAAGTTGCTTTTGTTTTGTCGGATGAAACAACTGAGCTGCGAGCACTAAATATTAAATCTCTACATGCTAAGCCAACAGTAAGTAGAGAATCTGCAGTCTATGTTTGCTATCAAAGGTAAAATGGCTGACTGAAGAGGTTGAAGCTCACTGGTGCTGCGCAGCTGCTTTCGTTCTGTCTTCAGATGAATTTTGGGATTCAATATTTTCCACTTTATGACAAAACAGTTTGCTTATTTCTGGAATTAATTGTTTCCTCTCCTGTCAAATAACGTGCTACACAAACTGCAAAATGAATGTAGCCTACTTCCTATCAAAAATATTATTCTGTAGTTTGTATTTTAAACTTTTATACCAATGATTCCAAAAATAACTCTTCAATATCAAAACAAAAACAAAAACAAACAGAAAACACGAGGTTTGATACAATCTCTATGCATACAGTATATCTTTTATACATTTGGACTGAGAAATTCCTGACTGAAAGGTGAGATGTGACTGCACTTTGCCCTACAAATGGAGACCTGACTTCGGATGATGGGGGTTGCACAAAGCTACTTCAAACAGTGCATGCTAACCTGGTTGCGTATTGCAGACGCAGAGCCTCTCTTCGCTCTTATTTTCTGACTGAAAGTGTTTTTTAACCATGACACCTTCGTTTGACTACAGCACTCGTTAAGAGGGTATTGGCAGTTCTGATCTGACATTGAATCTGGTGAAAAAAGAGACGCTGAAAACCCTCAGTCTTTTTTAATGCTTCTAAAGTGCCGTAAAGCTTCTGTGAAGATACATTTAATGAGTCTAAACCACAGTCTAAAGCTTTGACTGTGCAGTCAGACTCTTGGTGAGCAGACAGTTCTTGCTTTGATCGACAAATTGGGAAATACTTGTTTACTTGCAAAGAGCTGGATGAGAAGGTTGACAGCACTCTCATATATTTTTTAATAAATATTAAGCTAAATCCAGGTGTGGTTAGCCTAGATGAGCATAAAGACAGCTTGTCTGGCTCTGTCCAAAGGAAACAAAATCCAGCACCACTAATTAACTTGTTACAGCTTCATTCACGTCTAATTCAGGAGGTTTTGTGTTGGACTGTTTCTGACAAACCCCAACCTGTTCATTATTAAGACCACAAAACCTTCCACTGGGTATGAAAGGCATGTCATGGTTCTTTTTTCCTTTTTCTTTTTTTTTTAAATGACCAAAATGACACCATTTATAACAGCCAGAAACTGTAAAAGAGAAAGAATTGTTTTGGTCCATCCCGTGGGATAAATGGGACATTTCATCAAAATCACTGCATTCTACAAATCTTGTATAAAACTTCCGACATGGAAGCTGTTAGTGGCTCAACCTTGACCAACAGTCATGTGACAAAAATTCAGACTTTTTGGCTGAACTGCAGGCTGTGTTTACACAGAGCAGGGAGGAGACAAACACAGAAAGAAATGTAAAACATAAGCAGTAAAATATCTTTAGTATGTAGAGTCACCATGTTTTCCCAGGATAGGGAATGTTGTTCATGTTAATTAAAGGTTTTTTTCAATTTCTGTAAAATATGAATAATATTTTTTTATTTATTTATTTTTTTAAACTAAGAAATTCAGAGGAGATCATTTTTCATGCTTTATGTCTGTCACATATGGCAGAGAAGACATTTCTGAGTTCTCCCTCCTTCTAGTCATATTTGTGCTGTCACTATGGAGGTGCGGGACTTTAAATTGCAGTGAAAATGAGCCCACAGTGGCCAGAGGCTGCTTGGAGTTTAGAGGGTAAAAGGCTGATTTTGTTGGCGTTGAACAAATCCCGGCTAGCCGTTTCCTCCTGTTTGAAGCGTTTATGCTCAGCCAAGCTAACGTTCTCCTGGCTTCATCGGAGTGCGAATAATCTTCTTGTCTAACTCCATTCTAAAATGTCAAACTATATATAAAACAAACAAACAAACAAACAAAACTGATGACTTGCAAAATGTCTCATTAGTTGTGCAAAATCTGATCGTGAAAGTGAGACTGAAACACTGGAATATAAGTTGGTGTCAAATAGTGGTCAGCGATGAAAGTAAGAGTGTTTAGCAGAAGCATCTTGGCAGAGACCAACGGTAGAGAAGATCAGCCTTTCTCTCCACTCAGACAGGATTTATGTCTACAGGGGAGATGGGGTGACTTAATACTACCTGTCCTGGTTGGTGACTTCAATGTTTCTGTAGTACAGCTGAAGCTACCTCCTGTTTTTTTCACCGACTTGCTGTTCCACCTGAAATCTAAATACCTTCTGCTGCATGTCATCAGCTCAGTGCAAATTTCCTGTGAAAACAGAGGAATTCAGATGTTGATGAAAACATTTGAGATCAAACATACCATTAAGGCCTATTTTGGAACCAATAAAAAAAGAAAAGAAAAGAAAGCCGATGGGAGAGCTGAACCTGTAGGCTCAATGTGATGTTGCAAAGTCAGCTACAGGAATAATGCATTCTGCCCCCACCGCTCACATAGCTGTAATCATTAATCTTGTCTGAATGAGGATTTAGTTTTAGGCTTCAGGACAAGATGTTAACTTTGTCAACCAGCCCTCACAAGGGCAGAGAATATACCAGTCCTGTTCACTCTTAACCAAAATCCTTTGTGAATGAAGTGACTAACTGACAAGAGCTCAAACTAGGCCTCATGCAGGAGCAGCAAACACAAACATATTTGTTTATATGAGTGTATGTATGTATGCCAGGCAGCAGGAGAACTTAGATTTAGAATGTGAAATTGATTTAATTCTCAATTAATTAATTTATTATGTAAAAAAAATCCCTGGACTGTCTTGTTTTGTGCCCAAAGATATTCAGTTTACTGTCACAGAGGAGGAAAGAAGCCAAAAAATATTCACATTTAAGAAGATGGACTCTGAGAATTTAGACTTTTTTTTCTCTCTGAAAAATTACTGACACCTTTGATTACCAAATAGTTGACGATTTGGTTACAACCAACAACTCATCAAATAATTGTTGCTGCTCTCATTTTTAAACCACTTGTTAGATGCTGTTGGGCTTAGAGGCCACTGTGGATGTGACAGCTGCACACTCACTATGTTGAATGTTAACCAGAACACGTTTGTGTGGAGTTCAGTGAATCGGACAACAAGTCAAGACGATGAGGAAAGACAAATGTTCCTGCATGAGGCCCATTGTTTTCTCGTGCAGTATCGTCCTAAACTGGGGAATGAAATGAGAGCCGAGTATCTTCAGAGAAAGTGAGCTGAGATTTCTTTTCATCCTTGGGGTGTACATTTTTACAACGGGCCAGCTATGGATGTTAAGTGGCTACAGAGTAGCACCTGATCACCTCTTTGCGCTCCCGTGCTTTAATTTCCTCATTTCATTCAATAAGCCCATGGTAAATTATAACAAATACATCCAAATGAGACTTTCGATTGAGCGTCTGTGGGAAACATTCACTGAGGAGCTCCGAGCTGACAGAGGCCAGCCGGGAGCCTGGAAGGCAAAGCAGAGGAGATCGGGTTGAACAGTTTGGTTGCATTTGGTCGTGTTGTCGTATTCCTTGTTTAGTGTTTGGCTTCATGTATTAAAGCAGCTTTGGTGAGCACGAAACACTCAGCGGTTCCTCAACAGAAAACCGAATCAGTTCACATCCCCAGCCTCAGAGGGGGAACGTTTGCAGCTGGCTGCACGTCCAGCAGCTGCTGCGTCAGTTTGCACGTCCTGCAGCTTCTTACTGCGTGTGTTCAGCGTGTTCAGGGTGTGTCATGGTCTTCATTAGATGGCATGTGTGATGTAGAAGATAAACTCCATGTCCATGGCTGTCTGTGGTACGCTAGCACTACCTCCGTGGATGACGGGGATCAGAGCGCTGTCCATCTCGTTCATGTAGCGCTGAGGTAGCAGTCTGCCTCTAGAACCAGCCTGGTACTCCACCTGAGGCACAAAACACAGAATTACTGCAACAGCTCAACACAAAACAATGATATAAAGACTTTTAGACCTTTTTTGTCACACATTATGACTTGCTGAAGGTTGTACAGATGTCACAGCAGAACTTGTACTACTTTAGCCATGCTTGTACTGTTTCCATAGATGAGCAGGACCTTACATTGCAGTGAAAAATGAATCCACAGTGAGGAACACCCAGAAACTACTTAGAGTTTAGAGCTAAATCAGCACACGAGACAATATAAGTTATCTTTTAATAAAAGAAAATTACGTATTAAAGTCCAGCGAAAAATAAGTTATTGTCTTCTTTGGCCTTTTGCTGTGGAACTGAATTCAATACTTCTTAAGACTTTGCTCTTTACCATGTCAGTCTGTGTGGAGATGCGAAGTGAGATGGAGTTGATGCCGCTGGAGGCGAGAACAGCGAGGTGAGGAGTCAGAGCACTGCAGGTTGCCAATGCCATCTCCTTCTGAAACACGCTGCAGGACGACAGCACCGACGCCAGGCTGCAGTCAGGAGACTTCAGCTGGTAGAACACCTGCACAGACATTCACACGTCTGAACTGTCAGACAGGAAGCTCATCCAGCGCATGCAGGCTGTGAGAACAGGGGTGTTAATTAAAATGGAAGCGTCACCTCAGTACACCTGATGGAGCGACCGTCAGCCTCGAACTCAGTGTCCTGCTGCATCCTCACACTGTGGACTCCATCCAGAGGTCTCCCGTCGACACCGCTCGTTCTACTACAGAACATTACAGTCACAAAATCACATGAGAGATATTGTAAATTTTTAGCTGCTAATTAAAACCCTTTCCCACCCTAATTAGATCAGTCCAACAATGGCATGGAGTCTCTCATTTTCCAGGAGCTTAGTGACACTTTTCATCTCTTAGCAGCTGCAGCAGCACAAATTAGGCCAGACTTACTACGCAGTATTTAATTTAACTGTTCGTGCTACAGTGCTGATTGTTCAGAATCTGTTATGTTGATATCCAGCTATGCCATGCTTGGCTGAGGGATATAAAACTACACACGGTCCAGTTCTTGGCTGCCTTTATTTGACAGGTGTCGACATCCACAAAGCAAAAATCAGCTGGTGATCATTATGATGAGTACCAGTAATCCTGACAACTTCACTGTGCAGCATCCTCCTGACAGCTTGTGGTATTTGTCAACAGGGACTTTTCTGGATGTAAGGGTCTGGTTGCTGGATGAGCATGTGACTAGGCATGTGATCAACAGGGGCTTTCCTTCCTTAAAAAAAGAATCCAATACAGACAACTGTCTGACTTCTGACTTCTAAAATGGACCAACGTGGCAGCTTGTTTGGAAAGCTTCTCTTCCTTATGAAAACAGTTCACCAAAACGGGTTCCTGAAAACACTGACAGTGAGAAATAAGCCACGCAGGTGCTGAATATTTCTTCACTTCAGATCGACAACTCTCTGAACCTTAAAACCCGCCGGTGGATTTAAAAGGCAAGTTATCAAAAAATAATCTGCAAAATGGCGCAACTGATCAGAGAAGAGTAGAAACACAATTAATCATCAACACTTAAATATTCTGATGGCCACTGAACGCATCCTTCATGACCTTAAGTTCTGTCAGAACATCAACCAAATCTAAGCTTAAAAATGTGACATTTAATTAAAATTACTTCTTTTTTTTTTACATCTCATTTTAAGAAATGACAAAAAATAAAATAAACAGTTTGCATTATATCCCATAAAACACAAAGTTCTTAACAACTCAGCTGTCACCAAAAAAAAAATTTGACAAAAAACAATCAGGCTGTGTTTACTCAGAGCAGAGAGGAGATGAGTATGGCAATAAATTAAAAATGTAAGTAGTAAAATATCACCGTTTTTCCCAGTAGTAGTAACTCATGGGGTTTAGGAAAAATGTAGTACAATCAATTCATCATTTCATGTTGTGTTATTTCCTGTATCATTTATGGTTTCACAGCTGTCATCCAGAACAGAAAAGTTCTCTCGACTTCCAGCAGTGATGCTGTTTCCATACAGATGCAGGACTTTATATCGCAGTAAAAAATGAGCCTACAGTGAGAAAAAATGTTTCAAGAGAAAAAAAACGCCTAAGTCAAAAGGCCAAACCCCAACAAAACCAAGAAGAACAAAAAGAAAATAACCGGAAAAAAAAACCTTGAACTAAAATCTTAACCAGGTCACTCCATGTCAACAGATTTCACAAGAGTGTGTAAATTTCCGTTTGAACAGTTACCCCGTGTTGACAGGAGAACTCCAGTCGATCCAGCGGACAGTGACGTTCTCTCTGAGCTCCCCGCCATCGTTCCTGCCGCAGGGTATGTGAAAGTCCGTCTGATCTCTCAGGGCTGAACGCAGAGACTCCATTGTTTCTGGAGGGATCTGCACCATCAACCCATCTGACAAACAACAAAACAGCAAAGTTATTTTTTTGTTCATTCACAGCACTGATATAGCAAAACACAAGCCAACAAAGCCACAATGTTACCTTCAACAATGCTGGATTTTGCAATAAAGCCTGAGGAGGCTTTTAGTGCTCCATTGAACACCACAAAACTGGCCCCAGTCACTGGAAGAAAACATACCAGAGGGTAACTATTTCATTTGTGATGGTATATTACCAGCTCCTCCCTCATCCTCGTTATTTTGCCACAAACAGAAGCGGAAGCAGTGATGAGCATGACTCAGGTTTCTCACCTGTGCGGGTCTTTCCAGGCATGCTGTTGGCCTGCGTCTGATAGCTTCCCTCCTCGTTCTGAAAACACACCAGGTGAGAGTCGGCCTCTGTGCTGAAACTTGCTCCGATGCTGATGACGTGCTCATTGGATGCATTGACCACCTTCTGCATCTGTAAAACAGAAAGATCCTCCAGTTGACCTGCGCTGCACGGCTGTGGATTTACATGTTTACCTCTGTTATATTTTTATTCTGTCGAGGTAGAGATATATGATCAATTCCTTTTTTGTTTGTTTGATTTTCTAGCTAGATTTCATTCAGGCTAATAAGATTGGCAGCTAGAATTCACTTAGTGCAGGAACACTTTGCTCATTTAGAGATAACCTGCAGTTTTTTTCCCTCATGAAAAATACATTTGTTGAAAAGTAAGTACAATTTCAGTTGACTAAGATTTTCTTTGGTTAAAATACATCCTTAACAAACACACAGTGTCGCCCCACTTAATGCTTCTGATAATACAAATTTGTACCTCAAACTCACTTTGCAAATGTAGATTTCATATTTATATTTTTAGTCTATAATAAGCTCCATGCTCTCGTACTGTTTTTTTCAGATTTCAGCTCTGAGGAAAAAGTTGTTGAGTATTTCATTACATTTTGAAAAGCTGAGTGGCTCAAATGAACGATGAAACCTGATGATGTGTCTTTACTTGCTATTGTTCAGCAGCATCATCACAACATTAGCCTCAACACTGATATGCTACAGTCTGACAAATGATAGTGAAGATTGATTTAGACTCAATTCATGTCTTAAAGAAATAGTTTGACAATTTTGGAAATACGTTAATCAGCTTTATTGCTGCAGAGACGATCAATCTGTGAATATATAGATCATTCTGCTTTAATTCCTGGCAAGAAAGCAAATATATTTATCAGAAAAAATACTCCTTTAAGGCTCTTGTACCTCATTAAAACTACATTTGGGAATGTCGATGTAGCTGTGGCCCATCTCCATGTGGATCCTCAGGCCCTCCACGACTGACAGGCTGTACTGGTAGTTCCTCAGATCCTGGAGGGAAACAGTTTGTTAGTTGGCAACCGGGTGTTAAAAGTAGTCTATACATTTAAAATCATTTAAATGCTTCATGGTCAGAGCGGGTGTCACAAAATGTGAATTTGCTATTGTTCCTACTGGGAAAACACTGCCTATATACCTCTGCCCAGCACTTTGAGGCAGATATAGAAGATGTCTATGTTTTGATGAGCGCTCGTCCAAAACTACACCTTTGTATTCATGCCGTAGGGTCAAGGTTGCCGATGATACATTTATTTTGTGATCAGTTGCATCAAATAATCTCAGACTAAGCTGCTTCTTTCTTTTCTCAACAGTAACTGAGCTTGTTTCTTTGCTGTTATGGATTCAGAGAAGTGACTGGAATTTTCCAGCAGCTTTAAAATATTTATCTGTTTACAATCTTGCTTAAAAAAGACAGTTCTGGCAGTGGTCTACAGTTACACAGCGACGGCACTCTAAATTGCTTCTCTTTTAAACCACAGCAATCTTCAGTCCTGTTTGAAGAGTGACCTTATTGTCGGGAATGATTAACAGTAGCCAGCTCCTTAATTAAACATGTGGCTTCAGTGGGATTAAGAACACCAGTGTGTGGCTTTAGTTCTGAACATCTGCTTGTCCGGTGGTACTTACAGCCAATAAATTCATAATGGTGTGTCCCGTCTCTCGAAACACAGAGTCCCGAAAACGAATGCTGACCAGTGCAGTGGGATACACTAAAAAAGAGAAAAGATACAGGTTATTTGATATGTGCATGAACCACAGAGGCTTTCATTTAGTGGTTAGCAGCATTTCCAAAAACCCTTCAAGAAAGATTCCGAAAACATTCATGAATGTTTTGTCGTTTTAGGTAAATTACACAATATTTTGTGCATAATTTTGTAGAGATTTTCCTGTAAGTCCTGTTCCATAAAATAAAAATTATTATAGCATTCTTATTGTAAGTTACAGATATTGATATAAAATGTTAGGAAACACTGACAGACCACAGTAATATGGTCAGTGTCATATGATGTATGATGACAAAAAGAAAGCCAATCTTGACAACTGAGAAGATAGAACCAGACAAATGTGTGTTACATGAAAAACTACCTAAAGTCCTAGAACAACCTTCAACAGTGATGGAAGAAGTATTCGTTTCATTAACTTAGGTAAAAGTACCAAAACAGCAAAGTAAAAATACTTGATTAAAAGCAAAAGTCCTGCATTTATTAAAAGTACATAAGTATTAGTAGTACAATGTACTTAAAGTAAAAGCTCTCCTTTAAGACACAGACAGGATGGACAGTAAACTACACACCGCTGTATTCAGCTCCGAGCCGCAGAAGCAGTCTGAGTGGAAAGACTTTGGCCCAGGGAACCTCCAGTTTCTGGATGAGCAGGCCAAACAAGAAAGGCTGTGGAGGCAGAGTGAGTCCATCCAGAGACTGACAGGTGGGAGAGAAGAAGAGCATGCCAGCGTGATCCTTACTGCCCAAGAAACTGCTTGTGAACGTCACGTTATCCAGCTCCTCCAAAAACTTCCCTGGAACAGAAGATGATAATTGTGTAGTTTTGTGTTTTCATCATGAGTAAATAAAATCAGTTTAAAGGTAAAATAATGAGCACTTCCTACCTTTTTGGGCATCTTGGTAAATGCTGAGATACAGGGTGAAGAGGTCTTTGGGCAGAGTTTTTTCTTCTGGCAAACACTCCAAGAGAAACACCACTTCTTTCTGTCCCAGAGCCTGCAGTCCATTAGAGCCAAAGCACCAGCACTGTCTGCTGGAGCCTGGAAGATAGAACAAAAATACAGAGAGTGAACAGGAGCCTTGTTATTGGGAACAGTTGGAACAGTTTAGGAGATTCGCCTCTTCACAGATGCTGCTACACATTACAAAATAGGACTTCCAGGGAATTCCAAGTGTTGTAAAAGCACTTGGAGTGCTGTATCGCTACACAAGGAGACTACTCTGAAGTGCATGACAGCCGTTGGTAAAGTCAGTTTTGGTTTCACAAAATATACACAGTCCCTAAACTTTTTCACTGCATCTTGTGTATTCTACTCACTTGTAACCAGTTTGACGTTGACTAGCAGGTTGGCATTCAGAACGAATGTCAGAGGCCGAGGTCCTCCCTCCTCTAGTAAGTGCAGAATCTGGCATGGAGCAGGGCTTTCCTCAACCAAAACATCTACACAGAAAACACAGCAGCGTGAGGTCAATGTTTGATGCATGCAAACAAGTTCATCATAGTTCAGAACAACAGACTGGATTCATTTCAGGATTGGACTACAGGAGTTTTAAAATCCTGACAGATTTAGAAATTAGGCTGCATCAAAACTTCACATCTATTCTTCTCATTTATATTAGATGTTTGCACACTACATGATCTGACAATAAATATTGTTATAGATAAATAAATAGATTATCATGCCAGAGGGAGCAATCAGGGAGCAGAGCACCAGCTCATGTGAGCTCATGGGGAAGCAGGTGAAACAACGTGCTGTAAAAATAATACTTTGCACAGACAAAAAACAAAAGCAGAAACAAGTCTGGATGAGAAAATGTTCAGACAATGTGGTCGAAAGTTTTTCAATTCTTCAGTGAGAACTGCAGGAGAGATTTTAATGATCACTTTTAACATCTACAGCCACTAGAACAAAATAACCATCCAGACTTTAACTCCTGAATACCAAACATATTTTATATTACAGGGAAGCTCAGATGAGTCTGTGACCAGTTCAGAAGGTGTCAGGCTGACTCTGTAAACACTTCACATGATCAGATTTCTCTTCAGAATGTCAGGAGGGCTGAAATGGAGGCGAATCAGCTGGAAACTCCTGTAGTCTAAGGCAGGTAGTGTTTACCATTCCATACAGAAGTTTAGGAACTCTGAGAAACTTCATGCTTTTGTTTCCTTACGATTTAAATTTAGGATCAAAACAAATGAGACAGCAGTAGAAACTGGCTTTAACTTTTCTTCTACACTATATGTTCTCCTTCTGCCCTTCTTCTTCTTCTACATTTTAATGTTGACTTCCAGTTTGTAAATGTACAAAACTTAGCTAACAAATCAAACACACACCTCCTCCGTCGTCCTCTCCGGTGGTGATGAGCAGTGGAGGCAGCTCGTCCTCATTATCTGGCAACAGACAGGGAACCCTCTTCACCGAAGAACCTATTCCAGAGAGCAGCGCATAATCCCAGGGTCCAGATACCGGGGGCCGAACTACCTCTACAGACCCAGACGCCTCGGGGGCGGACGAACCACCGACCCCAGCCTCTGGTCCTCCTGAGCCAGGCTGAAATGAGATGGTCAGTGCTGTGATACAAAGCCGAGCCTCCTTCAGTAGATTCATTGTAATTGCTCACAGTACTTAAATGTTTGTTTCCATAAAAGCCTGGTGACAAACTGCCAGCTGAGAACTTTCTCAGCAGCTTGTGGTATTTTGTGCAAAGAATGTGACAATATGCCAGCGAAGCTGTGTGGCTAATTGTCTTACTGTTTGGTCTGCGGTGACACCGCTGAACTCCTGGGAGCTCCTGCGGCTCGTCACCGACAGCCTGGTTGTGTCTGCCACCTCTCCGTTGGGCAAGATGCCATCAGCAAACCACACGCGCTTCTGTTCACGAGGACAACCTTAAAACACACAAAAGAAGAAGCCTTTTCAAACGTACAGCTCAGGAAAGCCAACAACCAACTAGCTACACACTGTGTACCATAAAAAAAGAGTATCCCTACTGTCGTTGTTTGGGTGTTTGAGAACAGACACTGGCACCATGACGGTCGGCGGCGGAGAGTTAAGTGTGCCGGCGGCTCGAGCCTGCTGCAGAGGGGGGATGGTGCTGCAGTACTCAGAGGGGACGTTGGGGTTTGGGCTGGGACCCGTAGGACTCATCATCCGCTCCAGGGCCTGGGCTACAAGGAGAAAGACACCATTAGATGTGTGATCATTTTAGTGCAAGTCAGATTTAAAGAGCCCATAGTTACTTTTTAGGGTTCACCTTTTGTTGATTGTGGAAACAACGTTGGAAGAGCAGAAAGTGTAAAATGTTTTTCTGGTGTTTGAGATATTCATAATCTTCTTTGAATTTTTGTTAGTCTTTTTAGGAAACTTTCTTGGGGATTAACAACAACATCAGTTTATAAACACGGTGTCACTATCCTACTACACTAGGTCGGATTTCTTCCTAAAAACTCCAATATAACAAGCGAACACTCAAACTGCCCATATTCTCCTTTTTGGGGTGTTAGCCTTCCCTTCTTCAGTGTGTTATATAGCTGCATTTTTCTGCATGTAAAAGGTCTGCACACTTACGAAGCCCAACCAAAGTCATTCTCTCCCACAGAAAACTCTGCTTCTCACCTGTCTCAGACATCTCGATTTACAACCAGACTTTTCTTGTGTTATTTATCTACATCACTATGTAAAACATTTGCATAACGCCTGCCTAGCTGGTAGTGTGGATCTTTTAAAAAAAAAAAAAGAATGAGCAGCTGCCTCACAGTCCGACATATTTCCTCACTAAAACTGCTTCTGCTAGAGCTACATATCTATGGTCTGGGGAGATCTGGAGTCTTGCTTTTGCTGGGCCAGCTGCCCAACCATAGCAGAAAGGGCTTTTCAGGTAAGGAGCTAAAACAGAGTGTTTTAAACAGAAGGTGACATGAGGTGCTGCAACAATGTACAGTATGAGACAAGTAATTACATTTTTGAACATGAAACCATGAAATCACACTCTAGCAGACCCTACACACTAAATTGGGAACCTGCAATAATTAAATAATTGATCTTCTCTCCATTTAACTGCATTTTATGTATATATTTTATGTACAGGCCACGCTGTAAAAGTGTCGTGTGAAGTAGTTCAAGCAATTTTGTTTGTGTACCATTTACCCATTTAACCAGAGCTGTGAATGAACAACAGTTTTTATCAGTGTGCACACAGAAATGACAGCTGGCTGACTGTGAGTTTAATTAACCCTAATTTGACAAAAACTCTAACTTGGTCACTGACTCCACCTTTAATGGTTAATACATAATTCATCCTGAAGGCTCTGGACTCTTTAGCAACATCATAAAGCTTGTGGGTTTTAGTAAAATGCCTCAGAAACTGGAGGACAGAGCATTATGATGTTTGATTTAGACATTCCCATCACACTCAGGGTATATTGCAGTAACTTCGACAATACTCTGACTTTTCATTCAGCATCATGATCAGGTCAAAATTTCAGTTTGTCAGAACATTTGGTCAATAGCCCAACTGTAGTGTGTGATTACTAGCATGCTAAAAGTCTAAACTAAGAGGGGGAAATCATCTGCTTAACAACAGCATGACTGAAATCTCTTAAGTGCATGTAGTACTTGAATATGTGTTTAAAAGAAAGAGCACATAGCTACAAGTGATCTACATAGTGGTCAGATCTGTAAATAGATGGGAGAGTTATATGGTGCTCTGAGCACCAAAACAAACCAGAGCAGCAGCTTAACTCTTGGCTAAAGCTGATGAACACTGCTGCCTCAGCTGAGTGTGTATCAATAATGTCAGGTTAACACAACAACTGGAAGAATTGATGACCTGAGTAGTCAATATCAAGGCTTTTTGCAGTGAGGTTGTTTTGAAATGTAATTCCTGCCCTCTGGTGGTTAAAACAGCGTAATGCAGCGTGGTGAAGCTGTAGCAGGGGGTACCTGAGGTCATTTTGTTTTTATCTATGCTTAACTCTTAAACACTTAAACCAGTTATGAAAAGACATGGGACAATAACACACTACGTCAAAGCTCTTCTTGGTATTCAGGTAATCAGTCTATCAAACTGTATTTGCATAGCACCTTTGACACAGTGTAGTGCAGTTCAAAGTGCTTTACAGATGACTGATAAGCCCGTCGCAAAACAAAAAAAGACTGAAATTAAATTAGAATAAAGAAAATAGACTAAAGAGTAAAAATACCAAACATAAAAATAAAATCATGAAAACTAAATATAGAAACTTAAATAGCTTCACAAGACCAAACATAAAAATTATAAAACACGTTTTTAAAAAAAATTGATTAAACCATTTAAAAGGACCTAAACTCAATAACTTGATTAAACAGATCTTTTAAAAACATTAAAACAAAGTGATAAGAAGTAGTATCTACTTCAATGGACAAATGATCAAGGGGGAAAAAAACTAAATGGATAAAGTAAATAATGTATATAAACCACATTTAATCAAAAGCTAGGCTATAGAACAGGGCTGAACAATTAACTTCAAATAAAATCATGCCTGCACCTAACATTTTTTTTCCCTGTCAATTAATTGGTCGATTATTTTTGTTGATCGATTTATTAGTTGTTTGCTCAATAAAATGTCAGAAAATGGTTTTTAAAAAAATAATTTAAAAAAAGTTGATCAGTGTTTCCCAAAGCCCAAGATGAACTCCATAAGCCAAAGATATTCAATTTACTGTCATAGAGGAAGAAATAGACCAGAAAACGGCCCCCGTGACCCTAGTGAGGACTAAGCAGTGTATAGATAATGGATGGATGGAAGCTGGAGTCAGATGATTTTGACTTTTTTGTCTTTCAAAAATACCACTCAAACCAATTTATCGGTGAAGAAAAAAGTTGTAGATAAGATCAAGTAATTGATAAATAACTGCAATGTTGGATAACCATTATGCAACATGTGTGTCTGTTGTGTCAGTGCTTTTACAAATTCACACCATCCTCCTTGTGTGAGTCACACTTTTGATAGTATCTCATGTTTTAAATCTATCAAAATGGTGAACTAAAGCTTGACTGAGATCAAACTGCAATATCTGTCAGAAAGAGTTGCAATATGATGTTTCCCCCAAATTGTTCAGTCCCACTGCAGAGGCCAGTTCTAAGTTTACATTTACAGATTTGAACACTGAGCTCCTCTCAGGTCTTCAGGCAGACTGTTAAAGAGGCTTGAAGGATAAAAGCTAAAAGCTGCCTCACCAAAGCTTTTAGTTGTGCACTTTGGACCAACTAACAGATTCGAGGTACGACCTGGCGGGCCGTCCTGGGTCATACTCCGTCAGCATGTGAGATAAAACCATGAGGTGTTTTAGAAATAAGTAAAAGAATTTTACAATCAATGCAGACACTGACCTAAATTAAGGACCTTAAAATAGGTGTAATGTATTCTCTCCTTCTGGTCCTGGAAATTGCTCAGGCTGTAGAGTTTTGAATCAGCGTCCGTTGTTACCCCGTCCTTGCCTGCCACTTAGGCCCAGCGTGGTGTGCAGCTTCGCCCTGGTCGCCCTCCATGTGCGTCCAGGTTTTACTTGCTTTCCTTATTTAATTTGTCTCTGCGTGAGATCACTCCTTTATTCTTGTTTACGATAATCTATTTGAGTAAATGCATTCATTTGTGTGCTTTTCGCTGTAATGTTAACCCCTGCTATCAAAGCAAGAAAGTAAGAAAGAATCATTGGACTTGGTGCCCCTGGAGCTCACCTAGTTGAGCAGGCGACCCATAAACAGGGGATATAGTTCCCCGATGCAGCGGTCCTGGGCTCGGCTCCTGCTCACGACCCTTTGCTGCAGGTTTCTCCCCATTCTTTTCCCCCTTTCCTGTCTCGCTCTACTGCTCTAATGTAAAGGCAAAAGCCCAAAAAATATATATATATATAAAAAAAAAAAGAATTGGTGGACTTTCAGTTTTGCTGAAAACAAAACAAAATATAAATAAAAATTGAGGCAAAAATGAGGATTCTAAGTGGCTGTCTACTGTCACTTAGCGCATGCCGTTGCAATTTTTTATTTTTTTTAAATTATTTTTCTGGCCTTTTTGTCTTTATTATCGGGGACAGTGAGAGTGAGACAGGAAAGGGGGGAGAAGAGGGGAGGAGGACCTGCAGCAAACTGTCGTGAGCAGGAGTCAAACCCACAACCGCTGCGTTGGGAAACCACAGCCCCTGTTCATGGGTCGCCCGCTCAACCAGGTGAACTACAGGGCGCCCAATGCCGTTGCAATTTTTGATGCGCGCGTCAGCCTTGTCTCACACAAAAACGATGTCCAGATATTTCCAGTTGTTTTGCTTCTTTAGTGCTTCCACAAATAAGCAAAGTATGGCAATTAGGTGGCCTACTAATACATACTGCTCCCATTTGCAGTCATCTCATCTCATCTGCGCCTCTACATCGTGGTTAAAAAACTTTATGCCTCAGATCACCTGACCTCATTAACCTGGCTGTAAAATGCACTTCCACCAGAAGCTGCCACTGCCACCCGCAGTACAAACATGTAATGCAACAAAAATAAATGAGTAAACAAACACATGAATAAATGGCTGTTACAAGCATATTTCATGTAAAACACTGTATTCTACATGTCTTATTCATAATATGTCAAAATTAAAGCATCTGCTGGAACCAGATTCTGAACAAAACTCAAAATTCAGCCCTCCTTGGTGCAATCGAGAGAGGGCATTAATGACTCAGCTGGAACAACAGTCACGTCACAAAATTTCAGAGACTTGAATTGGGCTGCACTGCAGGCTTTGTTTACTCAGAGCAGAAGTGAGACTGGAAACAAATCTAAGTAGTACGTTACATATAGTATGTAAAGAACGTTTCACTTTTTCCAGATACTGGTAGCACCTGTAATTTAGAAAATTGTTGTATATGTTGATTTTGGGGTTGTTGTTTTTTTTTTTTTTTAGGTTTTGTAAAATAAATCATTAAATAAATTAATGTTTGTTTGTTTTTTTTCTACTTGTATGATTTATGGCATTACTACCATGTCATACTGTACAAAAGAGATTGTATATTTCTCTTTACTTCTAGCCATGGTTGTCCTGTTTCCATGTAGGTGCAGTATTTCATTTTGTAGTAAAAATTAGCTCACAGTGAGGTTCAGAGGGTTACCATTGAAATTACTACCTGTAAATAAGCTGAAGCGGT